CGCTTGTGAGGCCTCCAGGCTATTGCTTCAGACTTTGCTCTGTTGATTTCAATGTCATTTAATATGAAAAAGCTATTTGATACCCGGATAATTTCTTGCAATGCCTGCTGAGATTCTACTACCCACGTAGTATCATCTGCATATGCTAGCGCTGAAATCATTGCTTTCTCTGTTCTGTAAACCCGCTTTTCGACCTCTGTTAGCCATTAGAGCTCCATTTGATACCCAATTCCTAGCTGTTGTATTCTCACTAGTAGTGGGTCATAGAATATTCTCCACATTAGTAGAGAAATCACTTCTCCTTGATCAATTCCATCACCAGCTACAAAAAAGTCTATCAGGCCTTCGTCTGTTATTACTCTTATTTCGCAGTTTTGATATAATTGCTTAATGAAAGTGATCAGATTTTTTGGAAGCCTTATTCTTCTCATAGAAAGCTCTAGTGCGTGTATGCTTACTGAATCAAAAGCTTTTCGCATATCTTGAAATGCAATCCATAACTCTTTTTCTTTTTGAATTCTAATAGCATCGTAGGTATAACTACTCTAATAAGGTTAAAGCAGTCCCAACTAGATATGAATATGTCAGAGTGTATTCTCATAGCAGAAAACATAAATTGGAAAAAGACTAAGCACAGAAACCTAGGAGCTAAAATAATGCAGCATGCAAAATGACTTGGTCTTAGTGTCACAAAAATGAGTTTGCTAGAGCTTGGGACTTCTTAAATATACAGGGAGACAAAAACTGCCAGATCAGTAATATACTTGACAAGTGCAAATTAAAAGAGACACAAGAATGTATAAGCAAGCTAAACCTATGGCATGTAAACCAGCTTTTAGACAGAGAACAAGAGAGAATGGTCACTTGGAAACAGCTAAAAGCAAGAGAAGGGAGAAGACATACAGGAAGAAAGGCTCAATAGTTTAAGCTACTAGAAAGAGAATTACTAGTGGACAAGAAGTCAAGAGAAGTGGTTGAAGAATACAGGAAAAAAAAAGGTTTTCAAGTACGAGAAGTTAAGTCAAAGATTTCATAAGACAAAAGGAAAAAAGAGTGGGTACTCATAAAAGGTAAAGAAAACAAAGAGAGTGAATTTGGTCGTATTATTAGAAAAGAAAAGAAGCTTGTAGAAGTAGAGATTTGAGAAGAAGACTACGAAAATTCACAAGAAGTATATGACCAGCAAGAAGTACTTATCCAGCAAGAGATTTATAAGGAAGGTTGCAATCTTAAAAAAAGTAGTCAAAAACAAAGAATAGCATTGAAAGATGTGCACAATATCTCAAGCTTTATACGAAAAAAAGATAATAGACTACAAGTAGTATTTTCTTGTATTTATCCATTTACCTTCCTGTTTTTCTATATTAGTTTCTATGATTCCAATAATATTATAACCCTCTGCTTTATCATGTTCTGCTAGAAGTTCTACTTTCATACTATTTCCTTTAATTCCGTTAATATTATATGCTCCTATTTTTATATATTCTTTTTCTTTATTTCTCTTAGTAAAATTATCTTCTAGCTCTCTTTCCTCTCTTCTGCATTCCCCGTCTTCTTTGTGCCTTTCTTCTAGTTGGTTTAGTATTAATTTTGCTCTGTTTTGTCTCTCAAATTTTCCTTTTTGATCTACTAGAGCTTTCATTAGTTTAACTTTGGTGACTTTTAGGAGCGATTTGAGGCTTCTGGTCCCTAATTGTTTTCAAAGCTGCTTAGTTTTTTCTCTAGAGCTTGAATACGCTATGCCATGTATGAGAAGGATTCTTCATAACTATTTTCTCTTTATGACTTTTCCTTTCCTTTTCTTATAATAGAGTTGATTCACTTTTCTGACTTTATGTATGCTCTATTTTCTGTACTATCTTTTTTCTCAGTACTTTCTTCTTTATTTCTGTAGTGAGTATTTGTCTTATCAAAGCCTAGTTCTTGTTTTTTGAAGTTCCTTATGTATGGGTTATGCATATATAGTTCGTGCTTGTATTTTTCTTCAGTAAAAGGTGCTTCCTCTTGTTTTGTACTATAAGCTTCCCAAAATAGCCTTGTATCATAGTATTTAACAGCATATTTTTGTGCTTGAGCTTTTTCTCGTTGGTTTCTAAATGATACTAAAGCATAGCCTTTATTGTTTCCATTTGAGTTTTTGAAAATATGAACTGCTTTTGCACCCGTATGTTTAAGTTGCCTGAGCAGTAATACTTCGTTCACATTTTGTAGAATATTATATAATTTTGCTATATGCTGTTTTCTGTTTTCTAGTATTTCTTTTCTGTTTGCTCCTGGTGTTATACGTACTAGAAGTTCATTTGTGAGAGGAACTATCCAAGTTTCTATTCCCTGTATGAAACTACTTCCTTCTTCAAAAGATACTTCTGCTCTTGTTTTTCCTGAGCTTTCTCTGATCATTTCGATGTTTTTGACACGTTCTAGATATTTGATTGCAAAAAAGACTTGTGACCTTGTTATATGGTAGGGTATGTTCCATACGGTAATAGTTTCCTCAATTCTTGAGTAAGGTTTCTGTTCTCTATCTAGGTCATTACTTTTATGAGAGTCTTCTTTTTCTTTTAGGGAAGTTTCTGGCTCATACATTTTTCTTTTTCCTTTGTCTTTAACTGGAGATATTTTTTTATCTTCTGTTCGTTCAGATAGTACCTCCTTTCTTTTTCTACTTGAACTACTTGTTGAGTACTCTCTTTTTTCAGTTTGGTCTGATAGTGTTGCTCTTTTCTTTTGTACTTCTTCAAGCTCTTGTTTTGCCTGGGTCTCTCTTGCTTCTTTAGTCTTCTTTTCATTTTGTAGTACTTTTCTTTTCTTTGGATTCTCTTTCTCAGTCTTTTCTTCTAGAATTAAATTCAGTTGATCGAATTCATCTTTTTTTTTTTCTAGTTTTGCCTTAGCTTCTTCATATTCTTTTTTGCAGTCAAAATAGATAATACACCATTGGTTCCCATTAACGAACTTTTCTTGAATTGCTTTGATATATTTGTTTCTTCTTAGTGACTATCTGATTGATTTTTCTCATTGTTCAGCATTGCCTCCTAAAATTTTAACTGCTGCTACTTTTGCTTTAACTTCTTCTTTCTCTTTACATGCTTTTGGTTTAGGTGCCTATACACTACAGTCTAAAGACATACTGCCATATCTTGCTTTTCCTATCTCTTCTAGTTGCTCTAATTTGTCTTCTATCTTGTTCTTGCAAGGGAAAATTTCTATGCTATTTCCTATGAGTTAGACGTCTTCCATACCTTCTAGCACTTTATTTTTTCCTTCTTTTTTAGTAGTATTATCTGCTGTTTCTTGGTGCTGTAAATCTTGTCTTGTAGGCTTAGCTGGTTTAACCTCCATAATTTTCTTTGTTTCTGTTATCCGCTCTTCCTCAATTCTCATTTCTACTTCTTCTACTACCTCTTTTATGTTCTCTTGTTGAGTAGTTGTTGCTTCTTGTTCTCTTTCTAGAACTTCTTTAACTTTGTCTACACCTTCTGTAAAGGCAGCTCTTTCTAGTGTGATGTGCCACTGCCTTGCTAAAGTAATTAATTCTTTCTCGACATTCATTGCCTTTGCGACTATTTCATCAAAGTGATCTGCAAGTCCTAGTACCAATGTACTACCTTCTTGGATAATTTCTCGGCCATACTCTTTAGTAATCTTCTTAATAAAACATTTTGAGCTCTCTGTATTCTACATCTCTTTTCTACTGTTACCTGTTATTTTATTATCTTTGCGCTATCCTTGACTTTAAGACCTTGTACTTTTTTCTAAATTCCCTGTAACTTTTCCTTCTTGCCTGTGAACTTTCTGGTTTTAGACTTGCACGCTGCTTTTCTATTGGTTGTAACATAGTACGTTTTGTTAGTATTTGTTGACACGTTTGTTTGTTTTTCTGTTTTTTACGTGTTTGTGTTATGTGAATAGATCTGTGCTTCAGGTAAGACCAAATCCCCCAGTTTTTTTGAAAAAAAAGTTTTTCGTAGTAGTTTTCGACAGTAACCCCTTCTAAGGTTCCTTTGGCTTCTAATATTTTTCTTATTCTTTCTAATAAAATATCTGTATTTTGAGGCCTTCTTTCTCTTTCCTTAATAACTATTAGGCTGTTTTTTATTGATATTCTTAAGCAAATCCAAGTTTTTCTTTAGCTCTAGAAATGGTCAAAATGATCTACAGTAGACAAAACGAATAAATCTAAGAAATCATTCTCCTTTCTGCTACTTATTACTTCAAAGGTCTTATGAGACTATATATCTTATACTTCTTTAGAACTAATATTTTACTAAGTTTTTTTAAATTTAGTACTTGTTTTATAAAAAAGTTTTTGCTTCAGTATTATTTTTGAAAAAAAAAAGATTCTATTTAGTCTTTAATATTATTAGATTCTTATAAAATATTTGAATAATAAGGTCTGGCGATCTTAGTGTAGTGGTTAGGTTGCCAGACCGCCATGCAAGAGGTCTGGGGTTCAAATCCCACTGTCGACGAATTTGAATAATTACCCGGACCTTTGTATCCAACTTACGGTAAACCCTGTTCGTTTCTGGAGTTGTAATCCTGTAAATCACATTGCACCAATATCATCCGGATATTAGAAGTGTGACGAGACATTTGGTGAGACATAATATTACATTGTTATAAAATGAGTTTTATCTATTTAATTTACTTAGTTAATTTCTTGAATGTATTTATTGATTTCTCGATAAATTTAATAGTTAAAGTTAGTTTTAAATTAGACCATTAGATTCAGCTCGATGAGATCATTCGAACGAGCTATAAATCATGTAAAACAGATATATAGTTATTGAGTTATCTTAGAAGCAATGTTCGAACAAATTACTTTTCTTACTTTTCTTACTTTTCTTACTTTTCTTACTTTTCTAAAAAGCTATATAAACCCTACCTTTTCCCTTTACCCCAACTTAGGTTTTGACCTCTGCAATCTCCTTAATATTAGAATTCTCTTAGCACAGAAACTAATAGATAGTCTTGTATTATCGATATTGTATTCTAAATAAAGTATAATCTTTGCTCTTTCATTAACTTTGTAACGAACTGCTACAGTGAAGTAATATTCCACTTGGACACCGTTAAGAGCCCCTCTTCCGTGTCTTATGTTACTTGTGTTAAATTAAGAAGGCCAACACTTGTAACATTTTGGTGCCTTCTAGCGGAAAAACAAAGAAACACTCCCGGAAGGAAAATTAATTAAAGAAACTTTAAAGAAGCCCTAAAGAAACCTTTCTTAAAGTTAAGAAAACCTCTCTTTTCTCCTCTGACGATCCCTAAAGAAGCCTCTTTTAGAAACCAAGAAGCCTCTCTTCTATCCTTTGCCGATCGCGATCTATGTCACACCTGGTTTACATTACATGAACTCCGAAAAAGAGATCTATAACTTCTAGGATAGATCTATGTTACACCGTAACACGAAAAGAGAAAAATCGCCCTATATTGCCCAGACCAAAGAAGACCTATTTCATGTTACACGGACTTTTCAAAGTAGAATTTAGGCCCAGACTATACCTATTTGATTATAACATAAAGCTAGCAGCTTACTGCGACCCCCAGGTTAGGAATACCTGAAGGACGAGTACCCTACGAGCCAAATTTGTAGGCGTAAGGACTCTAATCAGCTAGCAGCTTACTGCGACCCCCAGGTTAGGAACACCTGAAGGACGAGTACCCCACAAGCCAAACTTGTAGGCATAAGGACTTTAATTAAAGCTAGCAGCTTACTGCGACCCCCAGGAATAGAAATACCTGAAGGACGAGTACCCCACGAGCCAAAGCGTAGGCGTAAAGACTCTAACAGCTAGCAGCTTACTGCGAACCTTAACTTAGAAAAGTTAAGCGCGGATTACCCACGAGCCAAACGTGTAGGCGTAAGTAATCCCAAACCCTAATCTGTAGTCTCAGATACCCCACGACCCAAAGTGTAGGAATAAGGTATCTTTCCACCCAACATATATGAACAGAGCATATCAGATACATATAGAAAGAATACAAGCACACGATTCACGACATCAGAATACAAGTCAAGCATATACAGTACTTCAAACTCTAGACCCAGATTTATCCTGTCAGCTGTGCTATCCAGGAACAACTCTTCACCGATCATATCGCAACTTTTGGAATTGGTATAAACGAACCTACTACGCCCAATCCTATTCTCAACAAACTGCAACTGCACATCTAGAATTAATTAATAGCTCTACCTACTCTAGAGCCAGAGCAGCAGCACGTGATATAATATTTAGTTGTCGATATAATATCCCTATAGAAAACCCTAAAAACATTGTCGAAACCCTCCTAGTTAAATATACTAGATACACTCTACAATCTCATCTCCCTTTGGGCTTTGAAGCTACAGCCTTTGACATCTATATTGAATTCCCAGCTAGTGCCCCTACCCTCAACCCTTATTTAAATAGAACCCCAGAAGAGGCTTTAGGCGATCTTGGTTCCCCTATCCCTAATGAGT